TACTGTGTTTCCCAGGCACACACACACACACACACACACTGAGAAGCAGCTCCTAAAATGATCTTAGCACACATGCACAGTCCCACCAGGTTTTTGCTCATTTTGCAGGCTAGTCTTAAGGACTATATCTCATCTCTACACTTAAGCATCATCATGAAACACCACAAACCTTTGTGCAAAACTCCTCCCTCTTTATGGCCTCTTCCAGAACCGACACATGGTGTCTCTACTCCCATGTGGAATATTTGTCCAAACACCCAGGACTGGACACAAAAAAGACGGGGGAGTCATTACCTCTTCCCGCTGCCATCTCACTTTTTTAGCACCCAAACTTTTAACATTTTCTACACAAACATTTGCTCAAGTTTCACTCAACAGTAGACACCATTTGTTCTGAGTAATTATTATTCTCCCTTGACAGGTAACCACCTCACTTCTCTATGAGTGGCAGCTGTATACAGAGCCTGGAAAAAAACACATTTTGCATGTGATCATATGCAAAAAGCATTTGTTATTTAAGAAGTTTCTAAACTAAACTACAACTCAAGAATTATCAGAGTAAGACTAACTGTATAAAAGAAGCGATAGAGGAGCATGTAGACTTCAGGGACTGTCTAATAGTCCTTCCTACTTGTAGCAGCATGGTGCTTTAAGGCTAATGTGTTTGAGAAAGTCAAGTAATTTCATCTTGAATTTGTTTTACTCTTTATTTGTGACTTTCATCTGTAGCTTTGTACTGGCTTTTCGCTGCACTTCCTGTTCTGCTGCTGATACTGATAATCATCCTGGTCAAAGTTTGCAAGACCAAACGTCGCCAGTTGACAGGTGAGCTTCGTGTCTTTGCTTTCAACAAAGGCAAATGTGCACAAAAGCTAATTTATTTTCATTTGCTTTGTTTCACTTGAAGCAGCAGTCGACATGAACACAAGCAAACTGGAGGCAGTAGATGCACAAGACGTGACGAGTGAGGAAGATGTAAGAAAACCAAAGTCCAAATGGTTTTTTGTACACGGTCCAGTACCAACATGAGGCGGCACTTTAGAAGTTTTTATATGAAAATATTAGTTTACACAATGACAATTACAGTGCTACATTACTCCGGAGTTTTCTCAAGAGTTTGTTTTCTCCGGAGGCTTTAATTTGAAAGGTGTCAGACAGGAAAGTTGGTTGTGAGAATGAAGGAAGACAAAAGGCCATCAAGTCAACACTCGAATTCACGACAGCCGCATCGAGGACTAGGGCTTCGAACATGAGTTGCATTTTAATGTTAAACTAAACCTGACAGTAACCTGACTCGCCCACGCCAACCATTGTAATCTATTTCTTCTTTTTTAGATGTACAACAATCATGCGATGTTCTCACAGCAGAAGAGGACGCAGCGCACAGAATCGCTCTCTGGAGATGCAGATGAATACACAGCAATCTACGAAAACTGAGCAAATCTACTGCAACCATTTCATGTAAAACACAGGAGATGAAGGATTGGCAAAGCCAGCTCTTTGTTACAGACGAAGATCTTTGTTCTGATTGTCGGAAAGCAAAATGATGAAATGCACTGCAGAGGAAATTATTATACATTTCTAACTAGTTTTAAGATTTAGATGCTAATTGATCATTGTTTTAATGATGCAGTTTGTTTTCTTACATTAACTTTCCTCACATCATAATAAATAAGAGCTTTTTGATGAACCAGCCTCTGTTTCTTTTTAAATTTTGAAGGTAGTAATGCAGATTATATCTGCAGTATTTTAAACCTGTTACATTGTTATGGTGAAATTTTTATGTTTCTATAATATTTGTCAGTTTGACTTTAAAATAAATTTTATTTCTACCTTCAATTTGTGGCAACATATTTCTTTATCCACTTTTTATTCACTAGATGCTGTTACAATCAGCAGCTTTTGCAATGAGAGAAAGAACCTGGAGAACATCAATGAATGTTCTAAAAGAAATAAACTATAGACAGAAAAATCTGCTTTACTTGTATTGAAACAGGAAATATTCTTGCTGAGAGGATGCAGCACTCAGTACTACAGCTCAGCCCTCAGTCATGTTTCCTATGACCAGTTCCTCTAACTATTTAAGTATTTATATTTATGTTATTAATGATAAGCATGTTTTCTTATTATTTTTGTTGTAGTGATGTAGTTCCAGACGTCGCCGTCGTTGCAGACGGGAAAAAGCTCGACTTTGTGGAAGTGCAGGAAACGTGCAGGGGAGAAGATGTAAGAAAACTGCTGTCCAAAGTTTTTAGGCCAAACCATGATCAATCTTAAAAATACGTTTCCGCCACATCTGTGGACACAAGTTTTTGTGCTTGCAATACAAACTTAAAGTTTTATGTTATAATATTTTTTGGTACTGTTGGAATAATAATAACTTATAGGCTTTCCCAGGATTCCCTTGGATGCTTCGTCCGTCTATGCATGAACTCTGATCCGCGTCCCCTTAACCGCCTGCATGAACCCACAGCATAATGCTGCCACTTCCTTGTCTCTG